CAGCTTCAACCCCTGGGCGCTCGGCTACGGGCCCCAACCGCTGCCAGGCCACCAGGCGCCCGGCCTGCCGAGCAACGGGGAGTTTATCTGCGACCAGTGCGGGTGGAGCTTCCACGGCTGGGAGGAGCTGGTGACTCACCAGATGGCCCATATGGCTGCCGAGGGCATCGCCGGCTCGGTGCCCAAAGCGGAGGCGCTGGCACACTTGGCCACTGACCGGCCATACGCCTGCGCACAGTGCGGCAAGAGCTTCCGCCACAAGCCCAACTTGCTGGCCCACCGGCAGGTGCACACAGGCGAGCGGCGCTACCAGTGTCAGGAGTGCGGCAAGTCCTTTGGCAGCAAGGCGTACCTGGCCTCCCACCAGCACATCCACACTGGGGAGAAGCCGTACGTGTGTGCCCAGTGTGGGAAGAGCTTCCGCCACAAGCCCAACCTCATCTCCCACCAGAAAATCCACACGCGGGAACCTCTCACCCACGGCGGCCCGCACCCATTCGAGACCTTCAACGGGGAAGCCTTCTCCAGCCTGCAACGCCCGGCGCCTGAACCTCTCGGCCTGGACGCCTTCCCACCCGCCCGTCCAGCTGTCGACGCACTTTTGCCTTGCGCTCAGGGCACCACACCGTTGCCTCAGCTGGCCGGGATCCTCCCTCCGCCCTCCCCGCAGCCGGCAGTGGACCGTCCCTTTGTGTGCCCAGTGTGCACCAAGCAATTCCGTTGCAAGCCCTACCTGGTGGCCCACATCCGGATCCACACCGGGGAGAAGCCGTATGCCTGCAGCCGCTGCCCCAAGCGCTTCTCCCAAAAGTCGAACCTGGTCTCACACGAGCGCCTGCACACGGGCGAGAAGCCCTATGCCTGCCCGCTCTGCCCGCGTGTCTTCAGCCAGGGCTCCAACATGCGGGCGCATCAGCGTAGCCATCGGAACCTGACTGGGGCAGAAGTGGAGGGGGGACTGCCCCCAGGATACCCGTCGCAACAGATTCAGCAACCGAACTAGACAAGGGGAGGGGCTGTCTTTCTACCACCATGCACCTAGACTCGGCTTCTCTCCCTCCGTTCCATGTTTTCCTCAGACAAGGGGGTGCGCAAAATCGACGCAGAAGTCCCTCCTGCCTCCAAGGGCTGTCCCCAACGCTCTGCGTGTCTGGCAGAAGGTGTCTTAGTTTTTGTATTGGGGCGGGAGTGTTGAGAGGGACCCTCAACCCTACGGCACCATGCCCTGGGGGCTCCAAGAACTGAGGAGCTGGTAAGGGGACGATGACCACTTGGTAGGATTTCGCCAGCGTTCAGCAAGAGCCATGGCATGGCGGATGGAAAGCGTTTGGAGCGCAGGACAACCGAGTTGGAAGTGACCTCGGTGGTTGTCCTGTTTACTTCAGGGGTAGAGGAAAATGTGGGTTGAACGACCCCCTCCCCATAGGCAGAATCGTTCACCGAAGCGTCCCGAGTAGAAGGGCGTATAACGGGAGATGTGGCTTATCCCCCTCCCTCACGGCGTTAACCCTTTGCTGGTCTCCAAGGGCCGTCCCTCAGGGAGGGAGAAGGACTACGGATATTTTTTTTTTATTTTTTTTTAAGAGTAGGGCAGGTTCCACAAATGGTGCGCTCATACGGGGACTCGCTTTTGCCTGGATCTACGGGACTCCAACCCCGGGCAAAACGTACGGCTTCAAAAGACGCGCAGTGGGGGGACGCGGAGGTGGGTCTCCTGGTCCATCTCCCAAGGTCCCCAGAGACCGCATCGTTCGAGCCCCCGCACACCAGGTTGGTTGGACTGTTGTGCGGCACACTTGCTCTTGTGATTTCCCTATTTATAGAACGAGTAGAATTTGGGTTGTCGGAAGGGGGTGAGAAGAGGGTGGATCGTAGGCTTCCAATTCCCGATGTCGGCCGACAGCCGCAGAGGGGGTAGCTCCACGCTGGATAAGCGGCGTGTTAGTTCGCATTTCTACCAATTTCCTACTGTACACACTTCTTTTTTTAATGACATAAATAAAGAGGTAGATGTTACTTTTAAAAGCCTGGCCTACGCTTGCTTATAATTCCTGTTCTGTACTGTATTCTATTCATTCTAATTTTATTCTAGACAATTCTAGTCTAGTCCCTATGCTCATTCTATTCTATTCTAATTCTATTCCATTCTATATTCTACTGTTATTCTTTCTATTCTATTCTATTCTATTCTATTCTCTTGCTATTCTCAATTCTATTCTTATTCTATTCTAATTATATGTAATTCTATTCTCTTCTGTTTTACTGTTATATTCTGATTCTAATCTCTCATTCTGTTCTAATTACATTTAATTTATTCTATTGAGTCTGATTCTACTTCTATTCTGATTTTAATCTCTTCTATAGTCTCTTTCTACTCTATTCTTTCTAATTCTATTTAATTCTCATTCCTATTCTATTCTAATTCAATTATATTTAATTCTAGCCTCTTTCTATTCTGATTCTATTTAATTTATTCTATTCTGATTCTATTTAATTTATTCTATTCTGATTCTATTAATTTTCTATTCTACATTCTCATTCTATTATATTAAATTCTACTTTATTCTCATTCTTCTGTTTTAATTCTATTCCATTCTAATTATTTTATTTCTAATTCTATTCTCATTCATAAATTCTAGTCTCTATTCTAGTCTCATTTTATTCTATTTAACTCTATTTTGCTATTATATTTAATTTTTTGCTCATTCTATTCTATTTAATTCTATTTTATATTCTCATTCTATTCTATTTTATTTAATTCTCATTCTTCTCATTCTATTTAATTCTATTCCCTATTCTATTCAATTTACCAACTGCAGAGACTCACTAAACAACCGCCGCAAGAAAGGAATGTCACATGGGGCTAAATTCCCTTCATCCGCCGCTCACTTAGCGATATAAATGGCCATAAATTGAGGATTACCTGTATAGGCTCTCCTGCCAGAACAGGGGAGGGGTTGGACTAGAAGACCTCTAGGGTCCCTTTCCCAGCTCTATTATGGGCTTCTGGGCTGTCGTTTTTATTTATTTTATTAATTATTAATAAAATTAATAAAATAATTCCTGCTCTCTTCCGTCCCTTTTTCGGGCTTCGCTCTGCCTCGGCAGCGCGGGGGTTAAAAAGAGAGTAAGGTGTGGGGGGTGGAATCTCTTTGCTGCATGCGGATTGGCCGGTCTTTATCCCAGGGACGCTGAGGACGCCAGCCAATAGCCAGCCGCCGCCCGGATTTACGTTGCCTCCGCTTGGGTGACGCTCTTCGGGAAGGGGAGTGATTGGCAGGCGGCCGCGTCCAATCGCTGCAGCCGACCCTCCTAAACGGGTTGCTCTGCGTCTCCCGGGCCGTGAGGAAGGAAGGATGGGGAGCCCCTTTGCGCATGTGCGAAGTGGGCGCTACAGCAGATGGAGGTGATGTTTCGTATACAGGACGTAGAATCAGAGAATTGGAAGGGGCCTCGGAGTCATCTAGCCCAACCCCGTGCTCGAGCAGGAGTCCCCGACAGAATGACAGAGCTGGAAGGGACCTTGGAGGTCATCTAGCCCAACCCCCTGCTGGAACAGGGACCCTCTTAACATTACAGAATTACAGAACCGCCGTGACTGAAGGGACCTCAGAGATCATCTAGCCCAACCCCCTGCTCCAGCAGGAGATCCTTACAAGAATTACCGAATCGCCAAGCTGGCAGGGTCCCTGGAGGTCATCCAGTCCAACCCCACTGCCAGCATTGCACTATATCCCCTCCCTGGAGGACGAGGAGGAGGAGTCTCTTCCTGAGACCCCCACGCCTTCCCTCCACCAACGTGGGGAGCAGCCCGGCCCGCAGGAGAGCCTTTCCCCAGAAGCCCCCTCCCCGCCTTCCATACAGGAGCGGTGGTGGTGGGTTGATTGGACAAAGCTGCCTCCCCCGCCGAGCCTCCAGCTGCGGGAGCAGCGTGTTCTGCAAACCCAGTCAGAAAACCCATAATCACAGTTGGAAGGGATCTTGTAGGTCAGTCCAACTCCGCCCCCGCCCTCCCAAGCGGGAGACCCTGCACCATTTCTGACAAATGGCGGTCCAATTCTGATCCCAGAAGACCCCTCCCCTCTTTTTCCAGCTGGGAGGGAGAAGCTACACCCGCCCTCCCGCTGACCCCACTCCAGGTCTCTTGCAGCAGGCGCAGCTGGAGGGCTCCTGCACATGGGAAGTGTAGTCCTCCCCTTGTGCCAAAGGGGGATGGGGTCAGAAGAGGCTTTCAAGAAGAGATTGCACTGCCGTTTTTCGGCCGTGGTGTTGGCTGCCTGAGTGGGGGTGGGTGGGAGGGTGGGACTGGATGACCTCCAAAGGTCCCTTCCAACTCTTGTTAACCTGTAACCTGTAATGGTATTTATAGGTCTCTCTCTCCTGACTGAGCAAGGGGCTGGACTGGATGACCTCCTAGGTCCCTTCCAAATCGAATTCTGTAAGGATCTCCTGCTCGAGCAGGGGGCTGGACTGGATGACCTCCCGGGTCCGTTCCCCCTCTCATCCGGTCAGGCTCTCCTGCCTTCACAAGGTGGGGGCCGGGGGCTGGACTAGACCTCCTAGGTCCTTTCCCACTCATTCTGTCAGTCACTCCTGCCCGAGCAGGGCGTTGGACTAGATGACCTCTGAGTTCCTTTCCGTCTCCTGCAAAGGCTCTCCTGCTCGAGCAGGGGGCCGGACTAGAAGACCTCCCGGGTCCCTTCCTCCTCTCATCCGGTTAGGCTCTCCTGCTCTCACAAGGGGGGGGGTGCGGGGGCTGGACTAGATGACCTACCCGGATCCCTCCCGCTGCGGCCCGCCCGACGGGAGGGAAGGCAAGGAGAGAGGAGGAAGGAAGGAAACTGCAGGAGGGAGGGAGGGAGGGAGGGAAGGGAAAGAGGAGAAAAGGGGAGGGGCTAAAGAAGAGGGAGGGGCTTTCCCTCCCCCCTCCCCCCTCCCCTTGGAAGCTCGCCCCGCCCCTCCCTCCCTCGCGTGGGAGAGCAGAAGGCAGCTTGGCTGGGCTTGTCGAGGCGGCGATCGGAGAGACGGCGGAGCGATGAGTCGCGATTGAGTGGGGAGGGGGCTCCAGGCGGGGGTAAGGGGAGGGCATCTGCTTTTCCCTGGCCCCCTCCTCTTTTTTCTCCACCCCCCCCCCTTTATTTTGCAGGCGAAAGACCCCGTCATGCACAGCCGCAGATCCCGCGTGGGGCGGCGGCTCCTCCCGCAGCCCGAAGCGCAGCCCGAAGCGACGGAGGCGACGGCTCCAGGTGGGGGTTTTTCAAGGGGAGGGGGCTGCAACGGGAGGGGGGGGGAAGAGGGGTCCTTTCCCTTGGTTGGGTAGGGGGAGATCCGGCCTGGCTTGCACGTGGCCCATGCACAAAAAAAAAAAGGGAGGGAGGAAGAAGAGGAAGAGGAGGCAAAGAGAGAGCGATTGCAAAGCGATTTTTTTGCAAGGGTGGGGAGGGGTCTCTGGGCGGGGTAGGTTGGGTGGGGTGGGGGAGCTTTGCAACGCGTTGGGAAGGGAGGGGGTTGACCTTGGGGCATCCCTGGGAGGAGGAGGAGGAGGAGGAGGAAGAAGAGAAGGAGGGTACGAATAGATGGCCAGATTTGCAGCCCCCTCCCCAAGCTTTTGGCCCGTCCATCAAGCGAGCTTTGCAAATTTGGCACAACATCTTATTCGTCCGTCCCCCCCCCCCCCCCCCCCCCCCCGCCTTTTGCCCAGGTGAGAGAGAGAGAGAGAGAGAGAGAGAGAGAGAAAGAGAGAGTCGCGTTGCATGCTGGGGTTTGTAGTCCTGCCCACCCACCCCTCTCCCGGAAGCCAGCCAGCCAGGTGAAGGGAGGCTGACGTCATCGGAATCCCCAGGCAAAAAGAGAGAGGGAGAGAGAGAAAACCGGTCGGGCGGCTTCCCGCCCACGACGCAAATCTTGCAAGGATTGGGGGGGGAGGGGAAGGGGAGGGGGTGTTGGTGGCAAGGTCCTCCAGGGGGAGGGTTCCAGAGGCCGGATTCTGCTGGAGCTGGGGGGGGGGGCTTCCTGTAGGCTAAGGGTGGCCGGTCCCGTGGGGTGACCCACTGTACCCCCCCCCACCGCTCCCCCCCAAAAGCACACTGCGAATTTTGGAGTGAGTGGCAAAAGCTGGGGGGGGGGCTTCCCATAGGCAAGGGGTGGTTGGCCCAACCCCCAACCCCCTCTCCCCTGCACTGCCCCCCCCAAAAGATTGCAACCCCTTTAGTTGTGGAGACGTTCTGAGTGCATGTGCCAATCCCCCCCCCCGCGCCCCCCCCTCCGTTTTGTCACCAGCTGGCACTTGGTTGCTTTCTGGAAAAATTGAGATCCTTGGGGGGGGGGTTGGTGTGATCCAGCCACGTTCTCCCCCCTCCCCCAGTGGGATCCTTCAGCCGGGGGCTGTGAGACCCAGGAGACGGGGGCCACGTTCTTCCCCCGAAGTGGGATCCTTCAGGGGGGGCTGTGTGATCCAGCCACATTCGTCCCACAAGCGGGATCCTTTGGGGGGGCTGTGAGACCCAGGAGACGGGGGCCAGGTTCTTCCCCCGCAAGCGGGATCCTTTGGAGATCCTGTGTGATCCAAAAAATGGCTGCCATGTTTTTCCCTGAATCCGGGATCCTTCTGGAGCTTGTCTGATTCAGAAAAGGGGTGCAAGGTTCTTTCCCCAATTTGGGTCCTTTAGGAGCCGGTATGATCCAGAAAACAAGGGTCATGTTTTTTTCGCCAAATTGGGATCCTTCGGGGGGTCTGTGAGATCCAGCAGAGGGACGCCAGGTTCTTCCGGGATCCTTTGCGGGCTTGTAAGGTCAGAAAATGGGTGCCAGGTTCTTTCCTAAATTGGGATCCTTTGGGGGGGTCTGTGCAATCCACAAAACAAGCCACGTTCTCCCCCCCCCCCCCCCGCCACCCGGATTCAGATCCTTTAAGGGCTTGTGCGATCCAGAAAATGTGCCACTTTCCACCAGCTCCTCACGCACGTCGGGCCTGTAAATTAAAATGGCGTCGAATAAAATAAGGTGAAGGTCAAAAAGAACGTCAAATAATAACATTAGAATAAGGTCAAACAAAGTAGCATAATGAGGTAACATAAAATAACTTCCCAGAATAACAGGAGTGTTGGAAGGGACCTTGGAGGTCATCTAGTCCACCACCCCCTGCCCAAGTAAAGAGATATGATGGGGCAGGTCCGCGGCTCGCCCAGTTGGGTGGCCTCCTTTCCTTCCAAAGTGTTCCTTCCCAGTTTCTCTCTCCCTAACCCCCCAAACAGTCTCCTGGTGGTCTCTTCACCTGGTTGGCCGGCTTGGGGGGGAGGGGGGTGTTCCATGGGGAAAAATGCAAATTAATGCAAATTCACTCCCCCCTCAAAAGAGTGATAAAAGTAAAATTAGTCAAAGCAAAGATCATCCAATGGCAGCTGAGGGTTGAATGGTTGGGGTCCTCGGAGCTTTTTTGAGGGGGGAGTTTCCTTGTGGACGTCTTGTGGCCCATAATAATCAGGGCTAGGAGGAGGAGGAAAGACTGCGCGAAAGTCCTTGGGGTGTCTGAGCTTGGTGGTTTTTGTGCAGACATCTCGTGACCCAGCTAGGTTACATCATTAGTGCGAGGAGGAGGAAGGACTGTGTGTCCTCGATGCGCTCTGAGCGTGGTTGTTTCCATGCAGACGTCTCATGACCCAACTAGGTTATATCATTAGTGCTAGGAGGAGGAGGAAGGACTGTGTGTCCTTGGGGCTCTTTGAGCTTGGTTGTTTTTGTGCAGACGTCTCGTGGCCCAGCTAGGCTACGTCATCAGTGCTAGGCAGAGGAAGGACAATGTGTCCTTGGTGCTGTCTCAGCCTGATGGTTTTCTTGCAGACGTCTCGTGGCCCAGCTAGGCTACGTCATCAGTGCGAGGAGGAGGAAGGACTGTGGGGTCCTTGGTGCTTTTTCAGCTTGGTTGTTTCATGCAAATGTCTCTCGACCCAATTAGGTTGCACCATCAGTGCGAGGAGGAGGAAGGGTTGTGGGATCTTTGGGCCTCTCTGAGCTGGGCTATTTCCTTGGAGGCGTTTCACGACCCAACTAGGTCACCCTGACTCCTGCTGCCTTGTAGCGCTGATGGCGTTACCTAGTTGGGCAAGGAAATGTCTGTGAGGTAAAACCACCCGACTGGCTGAGTGCCCAGGGCCTGCGCGAATTCAGGGGCTGGTGGAGCCTTTTCCAGAAGGCCAGGCCCAAAACCTCCTGGGCGCTAACCCCCCCCCCCCACCGCCCCTCCTCCTGTTCTGTTTTTGTATATCCTGTATCTATTCTATTTTGTACTCTATTTTACATTTTATTCCGTTCTATTCTATTTTGTATTCTATTCCACTCTATATGATTTATGTTCTTCTATGATTTCTATTCTATATTCCTTTATGTTCTGTTCCATTTTGTATTCTATTCTATATTTCATTCTATTTTATATTCTATATTCCATTCTATTTTGTACTCTGTTTTACATTCTATTTTATTTTGTATTTTATTCCATTCTATATCCTATTTTGTATATTTTATATTCTATTCGATTATTTTATATTCAATTCCATTCTATTTTCTATTATTTATATTCTATTCTATTATTTATATTCTAAATTCTATTTTACATTCTATTCTATTCTATTCCATTCTATATTCTATTCTATATTCCATTCTATTTTATATTCTATTTTGTAGTCTATTTTATATTCTATTGCATTTTATATTCTGTTTTATATTCTATATTCTATATTCTATTTTATTTTATATTCTATATTCTAATTTGAATTCTGTTTTATATTTTATTCTGTATTCCATTCTATATTCTATTCTATATTCTTGTGTATTCTATATTCTGTTCTATTTTATATTCCAATTTCTCTTCTATACTCCCTTCCCTTCTTTCTATTTTATTTTATTTTACTTTTTTTTAATGAATCTCATTTATCGCTTGCCCCCTCCCTCACCGTGGAAAGCAACTCCAGGTGGCTTAGAAAATGCCGGAAAGAGAAACCAATTCAATTAAATTTAGTAAGAATGAAAGAGAGACTAAAAGAAATGATTTTCTCCCAAAGCTTTAATGGTCGGTCCCAACCTTGCTGGGGAAAAAGGAGATTATTTCCCCAATAAATATTGTGTATTTATTGAGTAAAATCTTACTAAGTATGGAGTAAAATCTTACAGGTCACACTATTATGCTAGTCCTCGACCTAACGACTGGAATTGAGCTTCCCCCCACACACATGCCGCTAAGTGAGATGTTAGCAAAGCAAGTTTTGTCCCGTTTTGCACCATTTCTTATCGTGGTCGTTGAGTGAATCTCCACCGTTGTTCTCCGGCTTCGTCGACTTTGCTCATTGGGATGCTGCTAGCGTCGTCAGTAGTGCAAGTCAAGTGTCTGAGGCCGTGACGGTCGTAAGTGTGAGAAATGGTCCTTGGTTCCCCCACCCGGAACCATTGTAACTTTGAACAGTCGCTAAGCAAACGCTTGTAAGTGGAGTATTACCAGTAGAGACAGGGTGTCCAACGTTGGGCATTTTGAGACTTGTGGGATTTTAACTCCCAGAATTCCCCAGCCACGTTTGCTGAGGAAGAAATAATAAAGTCAAATAATATAACATTAAATTAAATAAAGTAATATTAAATAAAGTAAAAGTAATCTAAAGTAACCTAAAATAATGAAGTAAATAAAGTAAAATAACAAAATAATAAAAAATAACCTAAAATAGTAAAATAAAAAAAAATAAGGTCAAATAAAGTCAAATAAAACAATAAAATAAAGTAAATCAAATAAAATATAAAATAAGGCAAAGTAAAATTGAAAATAAAATGTTATATATATATATGTGTGTGTGTGTGTGTGTATGGTATTTGGCTTTGTTCTGGTATTTTCCCACGTCATTATAGTTGTGCTTTTAAAGTTGTAGCAACGTTTAAAAGTCTGACTCACAGACGAACACAATGCAGAAGCCTGATGATGGCAGATGAGATTCTGCCGAAACGTTGCTGCAACTTTAAAAGCACAACCACAATGATGTGGAAAAATACCTGAACAAAGCTAAATGCCATATCCATATATATATATATGTTTTCTTAAGTTTTTGCGGGTACTTACATGTATGGCATTCAGCTTTGTTTGGGTATTTTCCCACGTCATTGTAGTTGTGCTTTTAAAGTTGTAGCAACGTTTCGGCAGAATCTCATCTGCCATCATCAGGCTTCTGTATAGTGTGTGTATGTATGTGTGTATATATGTGTGTGTGTGTGTGTATATATATATATATATAAATATAAAATATAACTATAAAAAAATAACAAATGAAATAAATAAAATAAAAAATAAAATAAAGTAAAATAACAAAATAATAAAATAAAATAAAAATTTTGTTTTATTTTATGTAATATAAAATAACAAAGAATAAATTAAAATAAAGTCAAATAGGGTAAAATAAAATAAAATAGTCAATAAAATAAATAAAACAAAACAAAATAAAACAGTCAAATAAAATAACCTATAAGAAGGCAAAATGAAATAAAATAGAAAATAAAATTGACTTACAGTAACCGCTCCAAGTTTCAACAACCCTGGGGGAAAAAAATGATTTTTCATGCTTACAACCGTCACAGCATCAATTAGCAGATAGATGATAAAGATGGATGGATGGATGGATAGATGGAAAGAGACAGTTAATAAATATAAGAGATTGGATGGATAGATAGATAGATAATGAGAGATTAGCAGGCAATGGAGGGAGGGAGAGAATAGATATAGAGAAATAATAGAGATATGAGAGAGATTAGCGGATAGAAGAAAGGGATGGATGGATGGAGAGAGAAAATAGATACGAGAAAGAGAGAGAATAGAGATATGACAGATTAGCAGATAGAAATAAATGGTCCAGAGGGAGGGAGGAAGAGAGATAGAATAAATATGGGAGAGAGAGATAAGAGATATAGAAATAGACAGATATAATAGAGATAGATAGATAATAGAGGTGAGAGCGATTAGCATATAGATGATAGATAGAGATGGGTAGATGGACAGAGAGAAACAGATAATAGATATGAGAGAGGGAGGGAGGGAAGGAGATAACAAAATTAAAATTAGTAAGAATTAAATACAGATGAATAGCAATGTAAATCAGATCCCGCCATAGAGCACAATGTCCAACCTTGGCAGCTCTAAGAATTGTGGACTTCCAACTCCCAGAATTCCCAGCTCGCGATGCTGGACGTTTGAGTCCCCACGTCTTAAAAGTTGTCAAGGTGGGACACCCTGACTTTAAGAAATTATTGTCATGTAGAGCAGTGGTGTGATTCCAGATTGTGTGCTACTGGTTCTGTGCGCTTTGCAACACTCAAAAGATCGCCCTCGGTGAGGTGAGCTGTTTTTTAGCTCAGAGGAAGTGCAGCAATGCACTCTGCCGTACAAACCAGCTGAGCTAAAAATCAACGGGATATAGGACAGGAAATGGTGGGGGCAGGTGGGCAGGGCCAGCCAGAAATGGTATTTGCCAGTTCTCCAAATTATTCCAAATTTCTGCTACTGTTAGGCTGGAACTGGTCCAAACCGGCTGAATACCGCCTCTGGTGTAGAGTGGTTTTATGGTGGTTTTATTTTTCACCTTGACACGGACGGCAAATGAATGACTTGGAATCAGTCGAGGTCGCGACATATCTCTTGCCAGCCTCTCTTTGATGCTCTTTTCTTTTGTTTTCTCCGCAGAAAGGGGTGTCCCCATGGATGGGAGGGACCAAGAGCCGGTAGATGGCCGCACACGCCAGGCATCCCCTCCGGGGGAGAAGCCATTCCCTTTCCCGGCGTGGGAGGAGAGCTCGGGAGACGAGAACGGGTTGGTCATCCACAGCCAGGTGGAGGAAGAGGAGCACAAATGCGCCATGTGTGGCGAGAGCTTCAGCCAGCCGCTGGGCCTGCTGCGCCACCAGAAGCAGCAGCATGCCGGCGAGCGGGCCTTTGTGTGTCCTGAGTGTGGCCGGGGCTTCAGCCTCAAACATAACCTTATCATACACCAGCGCATCCACACTGGCGAGAAGCCCTTCGCCTGCAGCGTCTGTGGGAAGCGCTTCAGCCTCAAGCAGAACCTGATCACCCACCAGCGGGTGCATGGTGGCCCGGCCCGCCGCCCGTTCGCCTGCCCCGCCTGCGGGAAGCACTTCCGGGAAGAACGGCTGCTCGCTGCTCACCAGAAAAGAGACTGCGAGCCGCAGCAGGAGCGGCAGGACAGCCCGGGAGACCAAACGGGATGCGTTGCTGAGGAGGGCGAGGAGGATTTTGTGCGCCGCCGGCTCCGGGTAAAGCATCAAGAGAAGCCCCCGCAAACCCGCGCTGCCTTTGCCCGCCGGGGTTCTGGGGAACCTTTGAGGGGGAGAAGCGGACTCACTGGCTCGCCGAGGACCCAGCAAGCCAAGGAGGAGAGCCCCAAAGCCCCGAAGACGAGGCTCCGCCGTGGGGACCACCCCTTCCAGTGCCTGACATGCGGGAAGACCTTTTCGCAGAAAGGCAACCTGGCGGCACATCATCGGAGCCACCGCGAACAGGAGAGCCTCAGTTGAGGGCGGGACTGAGAGGGTGCCCTGCAGCGGTTGAGCGATCGAAGTGGTGATGGGGCAGCGAGCTTGAAACGGGACCAAGAGCAGGCGGACAAGAGGAAATTACAGCCCCTCCCCCTCCTGGATCGCTCATGGAACATACTGGAAACAACCTCTTGACGTTCTTCATCGTCCCTTTCCACGTACTGTATTGGGACCATGAACTGACACAAAACTAGAAGACACAGGGTGCTTTCCATTTTTCTGCATTTTTGTATTTACCTTTTTCTTTTTTCTTTCGATCCATTTATCTCCCCACCGGGTCCTGGATCAAGTTCCACCTCCCCCTCCTTCCACATGTTGCATTCCGTTTTTTGTCCCTTTCTGACAGGAAAAACCGTTTCTTCCAAATCCGCAGAACGCTGACCAGAGCCGAATCGCACTGAGGGGCGAGTAGAGTCAGAACTGTGCCAAAGAGTCCAGGCCCCAGGAAGGAAAAAAAATAGGAGGATCAGGATAGCCATTGGATCAGCCGGCTCTGAGTTTGCAGTGGCAAGCCTCCTTGGAAGCCAGTCCTGGTGGGGTTGAACCCGAGGCGGTGCGGTGCAAACCGAGGATCGCGCGTCTGCTTTGGAAGCCGTTCCTTTGTCCATTCCCGGTAGATTTGAACCCGAGATCTACAGTGTGACGTGCTCGAGGACCGTTAGAAATACTTCCGTTAACAACTACGTCCTGGAACTAGCTGGAACGTGCTGGCAACTTTGGGCCTCAAGTATCTTACCGCAGAACAGAGGAACCCTCCCAACAGAAAGTTACTCGGCGCTCCCTACTCGGCGCAGCAGTACAGTACTGTCACCGGCATCAATCCGGCAGAGAGAGGTCCCTTGGAAGATTGGCGTCCGTGGAAACCGGGGAGGGAAACTCCCAATTCGGAGGGGTTATGTTTCCAGTGACCCCCTTCCCTTTCCCTGTGGAGAAGACCCCCCCCTCCCTGCTCTGCTTCCTGTCGCTGTCCAGCTGGGCCTCAGTTCTCGTTGCTGGGGCCTCGGCGTGTCCCTGCTGCTCGGTGGCGTTTTTGTCGTTCCTGTTGACTGTTACCAAGTTCGGCCTGTTTTAGAGGCTTTTTCAAGCACTCCTGATTGAGCTGGACCTGTTGAACTGCGGCAGAGTCGCTGCCTTGCCTCCAGGGAGTGAGTCTGGGGTACACGCGGCTGCGGTATGCGAAGGTCTCTGAGCGGAGGGGTGAGAGAAGCAGGTCTCACTGCGCGGGGGTGGGGGGGGGGGGCAGGACAAAGGCTGGCTGGGCTCGCTCTCCTTCGTGCTCTCTCTTTTCCTTTCTTCGTTCCCTCCCTCTTTCTCTTCTCACCCCCCTGTTCTGTTTTGTTTTTCTTCCTTCCCTCTTTCTCTTCTTTTGCTTCCTTCCTTTGTTTCTCTTTTTCTATTCCTTTCTTGCTCATTGGCTCCCTCTCCCTCTCTTGCTTCTTTTTCTCTTTTCCTTCCTTCCTTCCTTTTTCTTTTTCCTTCCTTCCCCTTTTCCTTCTTTCCCACCTTGCTTCCTCTCTTCCCCTCTTTTCGTTCCTTGCCATCTTCCTTCCTTTCTTTTCCTTTTCCTTCCTTCCTTCCTTTCATCTTTTCCTCTTTTCCTTCCTTGCCACCTTTCTTCCCTCCCCTCCCTCCCCAGCCTTCTCCCCTCACACTCTTCTTCCTTCATTCCATCTTCCCTCCTTTTTCCTTCCTTCCTTCCTTCCTTCCCCTTTTCCTTTCTTCATTTCTTCCTCCCTTCCTCTCCTCTTATTTTTCCATCCTCTCTTCCTCCCTCCCTTCCCTCTCTTCTTCTTTCGTTCCATTTTATCTTCCTTTCTCCTGCCCCCTTATCCTCCCTTCCTTCCATCCTCTC